CACACACACACACACAGGATGAGCTCGTTTGAGGAAGTGCAGCAGAGTTGTTGTTGGTCATATGATCAGTGGGAGGAGTGAAGGCTGAGGACACACTGTACAGCTGAATGTGGACTTTATACGAGCTTTATAAGGACTCACTATTTATACAAGAATCATATTTAAATCATTAGAATATTATATAATAATAATGTGATATTTCATTATTTTATATCACTTTATTTTATTTTATTTTTTTATTTTATATTCAGTCTAAAACATTCGCAAGATTATGTTATATTATATTATATTATTCCTAATTAATTATTTGATTTTATATTCAATAATTCATAAAAACGTACTTTTGCAAGATTATTTTATAATAAAGCGTTTTATTATATTATTTAATGTATTATATTATATCTTACATAGAGATACATATATAAAATAGTAATTTTGTTTTTGATTGTTATTTTTATTTATTTATTTATTTATCTATTTATTTTCATCCTTTCAAAAACGTTCTTCCACAAGATTACTTATTATAATATATAATTATATTATTTTATTTTATATCCAACATAGAGATATTTAATATTATATAATTTTTTTAGTTTGATACCAATGTTGACATTTGAGAGTTGAATCTGATAATATTGATCATGATCAATATTCAGACTTTTCTTGTTTTAATGAAACATTTTATTGATAACGATCCCTTAAATGTAGTTATTAAATCCACAAAACTCCATTTTAAATTCTAGTGAAGGACCAAACATTCGTATGAAATATGTGTAATTATCTATTGTGTATATTTTTATATTTATTGGGACTTTAATATTTTACTAAAAGCAAATTAAACATAAAAGATTCTTGAAATATAGAGAATATAATAATGTGTGATCTGCAGTAACTCTGAGGCTGTTTCAGGGGAAAGTTTCAGGGAAATAACTGAAGTACTGAAGTTAAATCAGTTTCAGATCCTCCTTCTGTGTAAACAACATTTAGGTTTTATTTTTCATGAAGAGAAAACTAAAACCTGTCGACTGTAAATGGATGAACTGATTCTGTGTTTGAGTTCGCTGACAGTAAAAACCTCCAGCTCAGAACATGTGTTGGTCATTATTCTTTGTAACGTACCACAGTGGCTAAATTATTCATACACACCGTCTTTCTGTGAGCTCTCATTTACGAGATATATCTCTGACGGCATCTTCCACGTAAAAAAAGAAGATATATCTCGATAATAAGGACTGGCTCTAGATATCTAACCATCCAAATCTCTGAGCACTTCCCCCTGTGCTCTGCTGACACTGTCGGGGGAGTGAAAGTGCTGTAAGAGCTGAAAGTGATAAAACAAGATCCTGTGTCTATTCTTAGACACAGCGGTGCTTTGAGCTAAATGATAACACGCTGAGGATTTAACAGGTTTAGCATCTTAGCATGCCAACAAAAAACATCCTTTTAGTGTCAAACTCTGCACAAACATTATTCAAACTGTAGGAACAAGAAGAAACTCTGAGCAGGCTTTAAAGGACGAGTGTGTTTGGTGGCATCTAGTGGCGAAGTTGAAGATTACAACCAATCGAATAATCAACTAAATCAAACTAAACTGGTTATGTAACAGCCTCAACTGCCTCTATATGAGCCACATAAAGACACAAGACCATCAGAGAGAAAAATGACTATTTCTATATATTTTTATAGTTATTTTAAATGTTTACAACCTGGTCGGATTCCCCTTGAAATCAATGAAACAAGGCAATATAAACACTACCACTTTTGTCCACAGGGGGCGCCAGAATCAACATGAGATTAAAGATACTTGTAGGGACTTTAAGAGGAAATTGCTGTGTCAATAAACTCAAGAAATCAATATGATATCTGATACTGGAACACTACTCATTCACATACTGACATACACAGTGATAATGGTTCAGGTTTACTCACTCTGTGGTTCTCCGTACTGACTTTAATGAGAGTTAAATGATCTGTACTTTACGTCCTAACAACCTCAGACTTTAGCTGCAGGGGAGCTGTTGTTGGTGTTGCAGGCAGGTAACAATCAGCAGCTCGGTCACACCTGACACTCACACCGACTGCTTGTTAAACCATGAAATGAGCTCAGAGCTGAAGGTGTTCTGCTGAGCTGATGGTCGTCTGTGCTCCAGGAAGAGTGGAGGTTATAGAGAGCTTATCGTCTTCATCGTCTGTACTGTGATTATAGTGGAAGAAATTCAGGAGAAGTTAATTTAATCAGTTACTGCAGGAACAAGTTGGAAGGTACTTGTGCTTTACTTACTCATGCTGCTTTATATTTCTACTCTATTACATTAAAAACACATCATAATGCATAAAACCCATTTGGCTTAGACCTTAAACAGTAGTGTCCTCCTACAATTCCCATTGTCACGTTAGATTAGAAGTTCCACCTTGGAGTGAGCTGAACCATCTGCAGCTCAATGTGACAAAGACAAAGGAGCTCATAGTGGATCTGAGGAGGGCGAAAACACCTGTGACCCCTGTTTCCATCCATGGGGTCCCTGTGGACACTGTAGAGGAGTATAAGGGGGTGTACTTTAATAATAAGTTGGACTGGACCAGAAAAACACCGAGGTCTAAAAAAAAGGGCCAAACCTTCTCTGTAATCGGACCTCAAAACACGGACATCCACTCGCCACTTTCTTCTTCCTGCACATTATCATAAACTAAGAGAGAAAGAAATTTAGACCTATCACTCTTTTAATTATGGTTCGACTACATTCCCCACAGTTTATATATAAATATTTATATATAATTCGATCCTATCTTTCTTTCAATAATTATTTCATAGTGTTGTATGTAATAGTTTGTATGTACGATTTGGAGTTGTAACGAAAGTAAATTCCCCCTGGGATTATTAAAGTATTTCTGATTCTGATTCTGATTCAAAGAATAAGAGATGGCAGAAACATTGGTGGCTAAGTGTTACCACCTAGTGGTGACTTAGTGACTTAGAACCACTATACACAGCTGGCTGGCAGATTTAACCAGGAGAACTGTGATGAAATGCCAATTAAACCATTTTATTGAACGTTTTTAGTTGCCAATCTTCCTCGACATGTTGCAATTTAGCCACAGGATCTCGTATATTTGCCAATTTACATTTTTAGTGGCACCCACTCCTCA